AACTGCGGGAGGAGTAGCGCGTCAAAAAGTGGCCAGAAGAATAAGAATAAGAAGAATAAGAATAAGAATAATAAGTATGTGAGATAACAATAGTGTTGCTTCGCCATAGGCAAGCACCACTAATAAGTATGTGAGATAACAATAGTGTTGCTTCGCCATAGGCAAGCACCACTAATAAGTATGTGAGATAACAATAGTGTTGCTTCGCCATAGGCAAGCACCACTAACTAGAATGTACATTTCCAGAAGAAAATGTGAAGTGGTGCTTGCAGTGGCAAAACTCGCCGCTCGGTTGCTAGCGTGCGGTTAGCTAGTTTTTACCAAGATGCTAGCATGATTAGCATGTTGCTAGCATCATGCTAGCATGATTAGCATGTTGTTAGCATTCTGCTAGCATTATTAGCATGTTGCTAGCATGATTAGCATGTTGCTAGCATGATGTTAGCATGATTAGCATTTTGCTAGCATGTTGCTAACATGATGCTAGCATGATTAACATGTTGCTAGCATGTTGCTAGCATGATGCTAGCATGATTAGCATGTTGCTAGCATATTGCTACCATGATTAGCATGTTGCTAGCATGATGCTAGCATGATTAGCATGTTGCTAGCATGATGCTAGCATGATTAGCATGTTGCTAGCATGATGCTAGCACGTTTAGCATGTTGTTAGCATGTTGTTAGCATGTTGCTAGCATAATGCTAGCATATTGCTAGCATGTTGCTAGCATGATTAGCATGTTGCTAGCATGATTAGCATGTTGCTAGCATGATGCTAGCATGATTAGCATGTTGCTAGCATATTGCTAGCATGATTAGCATGTTGTTAGCATGTTACTAGCATGATTAGCATGTTGTTAGCATGTTGCTAGCATAATGCTAGCATGTTTAGCATTTTGCTAGCATGATGCTAGCATGATGCTAGCATGATTAGCATGTTGCTAACATGATGCTAGCATGATTAGCATGTTGCTAGCATGTTGCTAGCATGTTGCTAGCATGTTGCTAGCATGATTAGCATGATGCTAGCATGATTAGCATGTTGCTAGCATGATGCTAGCATGATTAGCATGTTGCTAGCATATTGCTAGCATGATTAGCATGTTGTTAGCATGTTACTAGCATGATTAGCATGTTGCTAGCATGTTGCTAGCATGATTAGCATGTTGCTAGCATGAAGCTAGCATGATTAGCCTGTTGCTAGCATGTTTGTAGCTAGTTGCTAGCATGATTAGCATGTTTCTAGCATCATGCTAGCATGATTAGCATGTTGCTATCATGTTACTAGCATGATTAGCATGTTGCTAGCTTGATGCTAGCATGATTGGCCTGTTGCATAGCATGTTTGTAGCTAGTTGCTAGCATGATTAGCATGTTTCTAGCATCATGCTAGCATCATGCTAGGGCGTTGCTAGGCGGTTGCTAGGGTGTTCTGGGTGTTTGCTAGGGCGTTGCTAGGCGGTTGCTAGGGTGTTCTGGTTGGTTGCTAGGTTATTGTGGGTGGTTGCTATGGTGTTTTGGGTGGTTGCTAGGCAGTTGCTAGGGTGTTCTAAGTGGTTGCTAGGGTGTCACTAGTCGGTTGCTATGGTATTCGGGGTGGTTGCTAGGGCGTTGCTAGGCGGTTGCTAGGGTAATCTGGGTGGTTGCTAGGGCGTTGCTAGGTGGTTGCTAGGGTGTCCTGGGTGGTTGCTAGGCGGTTGCAAGGGTGTTCTGGGTGGTTGCTAGGGCGTTGCTAGGCAGTTGCTAGGGTGTTCTGGGTGGTTGCTAGGGTGTTGCTAGGGTAATCTGGGTGGTTGCTATGGTGTTACTAGGTGGTTGGTAGTTGTCAAAGATGGTTACTGTTGAGTTTGTAGCATTTTATTGGCATGATTTAGCGCTTAGCTAATCGATATTAGCATGTAGCTATTCACTGCTAGCATGTGTAGGATGTAGCAAGTCCTGTTTGCTAGCATGAGTCAAAAGAGCCAACCCCCATCTCTATACGATGTTCTGATACAGAGATATAGGTCTTGCAAAACGGTTGCTAGGGAACTCTGTTTGGTTGCTAGGGAGTGGCTTGGCAGCTGTCAATCATGAAGCTCCAAAGTCAATGTGAATGTATAAACCAACCCCCATCTCTATACGATGTTTTGATGCAGAGATATAGGTCTTGCAAAATGGTTGCTAGGGTACTCTGTTTGGTTGCTAGGGAGTGGCTTGGCAGCTGCCAATCATGAAACTCCAAAGGCTGCTTGTCAGTATAAATGATATAAACCAACTCCCATGCCTCTGTGACATTCAGAATGGAAGATATCCCTGTTTGGATTTTGGTTGCTAAGGTGCTCGACAATGGTTGCTAGGGCGTGGCCAGTAAGTGTTGAGGTGATTCAGGATTGGCTGTTTGCTGCCCCGAGTCAAATGAGCCCACCCTCATGTTTCTATGACTCTTATATTCTGAGATATCCCTTTGATCTGTTTCAATGGAAGTCTATGGAACTTGTTGCTAAGGAGCTCTAAATGGTTGCTAGGGCGTGGCTTAATAGCTTCACAATGATCCTGAGAGACTGATTGGTCGTCTGAGTAAAATGAGCCCGCCCCCTTGTCTCTATGACACTGTGATCCAGAGTTATGTTGAATAGAAAATCGCTTACTATGGTGTAGGACGGCCCATTTCATGGGCCGTCCTACACCATAGTAAGTCAATGGGGCAACTTTGGGCCCCTCCTGCACCCCAGGGGTGCAACTTTTACCCCATTGTGTGGTATGTTCTTACAGAGCCTGTCAGCCTCTTCAAATGTGGTAAATTACACGTTTCTGCGACATCCTCGTTCCGAGCTACGACTCGTCAAAGTTTGACGCAATGTTAAGTCTATGGGATTTTTCGGCCGGTTTTTCGCCCCTGGGGCGAACATCGTACCCCCGATCCCTTATAAAAGTCATAGCACACCATTCCCGAACAGGCCGCACGTTTTGACGCCTCATTCATGGGTCTGTGACAAAAACTGCGGGAGGAGTAGCGCGTCAAAAAGTGGCCAGAAGAATAATAAGAATAAGAATAATAAGTATGCACAATAACACTAGTGTTGCTTTGCCATAGGCAAGCACCACTAATAATAAGTATGTGAGATAACAATAGTGTTGCTTCGCCATAGGCAAGCACCACTAATAATGGTTTGAGATTGAACAAAGCACCAAATAAATAGAACTTAAAAGTATACAAGAAAAAAACAATGAAAATGTTCATACAAACTAATTCATTAGTGTAAGGAGACAGAATAAAGGCCTACAGTTTGTACAGTATAAAACCCATTACGTCTATGGAGAGTCCCCACAAAGATAGTGGACCAGTGTGTGTGTATGCGCGCGCTTATGTGTGTGTCGTGTCCTGTTATTCATAGCGTAACGTTACATTGCGGGGAAATGTCTCCACGTGGATAATATTATTAGCAGTAAATGTTTTGTAAAAACAAAGATAATAATAGCAGCTTTCAACCTTCATGAAAACATGACATCTCAAACATACAGTAGCCTAGAACTTTAACGTTTGTTTGTGCTTGACGAACTTGTTTTGGTGTTGCACCCGCGTCTCGCAAATGAAACGGCATTCTAAAAATGCTGCGCTCAAGTTAAAAGTCAAACTTGCGTCTCATTACCTTGTTATTTCCCATTCCACCGCAAAAGATGCATCCTTTATGAACAGCCGCTTAGCACTAGCGATGTGTTCTACGTTACGGTCCTTCATTGAACGCGTCACAGGACAGCGGTTAATCGCCTCAGCAACTTCACGCGTATGAAGCGCCAAATCAGCCACTTCCTTAAACAGCGTATTCTATTCTGTATCGTCATTAGTGTTAACAGTTGTAAAGAGTTGGCTACCAAATTGAACAAAACAATATAACTGCAAAATTTGAATTTATGAATACGGTATCCTCGGTATCGCAAAATCCATATCATGGCACAACATAATACCGGTATTCACGTTCATACCGGTATAGCGCCCACCCCTAATTGTAGACGGTCAGGGAGTTACGTCCGGTTAAAGGCACACGTTTTTCGGCTTATATCTCAGTCAATCTTTGATCAATATTCCCAAGACTCTAATCGTTCGTAGTGCTGGACGGGGCCTTTCGAACGAGCCCACCCCCGAGGTCCAACTCGCCCGGCTCCCCGAGTTATAGCCGTTCGAAATCGGGAGTCCCAGCGAACGGCGATCCGGTAGGGGGCATCCCCGAGGCCCGCCACTCTAGCGTTCGGGCAAGGGTTCCCCTGGGACCTCCTCCCCCGAATTTGAGCTCTCTGTGTCTTTGCGTTCCAGAGATACAAGCGATTTTCTTCTGAGATCGTGACGTCACCGGCGTCCGCAATTTTGCAGCGCGGCCGATGGTTTTCTGCTAATATCTCCGCGAATATTCTTCTTTTCAGCTCGACTAGATGGTCCCAACGAGCTCGGTGCTCGCCAAAACCATCTAGTATTCGCCGAGATATTTGCGTAATAGACGGTATTGTCTATGAGTTCGAGCACGAGCGCTCTTGTAAAATTTGGTTGCAATCTGAAACATCACCACTAGAGGCCGCTAAAAGTTACATAGAGCACCTTTAACAGACATTTACATCGATAGTCTGGCGTTATAATGTATTTGCTTTTGGTGAACTGTGGAGTGGATAAAACTGTTTTTAATGCCAGGCTAGCAGTTACCGTTGACTCGCGCTAGCCTAGCACCGGCGAACTATGCAACTGGAACGACTGGATGAAAATTTTTGAAAACTGTCTCCACTGATAAATAACACTAAGGCTAACTTGAAAATGAGGTCCGATGTCCAAAATTCTGAACCACCCCTTTAAACCATTAAAAAACATTTGTTACTTGAAATAAAATAAACGTTAACGGTAAAATATAAAAAAAAAACTTTCAAAATATGAATAAAAACTCAAACTCTGTCTGAATGATATAAATAACACCGGCCCACTGCTGTGCAATGTTTGATAATCCATTGACCAATGTTAACTGGTTGAACCTCAGATCCGGGGCAAAGGCTTCGACTGGCCTCTGGTCGTGAAGGATTTTAACCTGATGAAGTGGATGGGGTCCAACTCGTTCCGCACCAGTCACTATCCCTACGCCGAGGAGATCCTGCAGATGGCCGACCGGCACGGCATCGTGGTTATCGACGAGTGTCCTGGAGTGGGCATTAAAGAGATGTGAGACGCCGTCCCAACAAATACACAGTAGTGTGGCACACAAACACAGTGTTTTACCCCTTTTTCGTCTGTCTAAAATGATTTTAAAGTCACAAGCTTGTAGGAAATGAATCCACTTTACAATGCAGTAACTAACATTGTTAATGTTTATTAATCTATGTTTAATAACAATACAACAGTTCACTGTTTGTTTGTTCATGTCAGCTCAAGTCCATTAAATAATATTAACAGATACAACTTTTTATTTTAATAATGTATTAGTAAATGTTGAAACTAACATTAACTAAAATTATTAAATGCTTTTTTTATTGTTAGTTCATGGTAGCAAATGTAGTGAACTAATGTTACTGAATCATTTGGCCAGTCAATGTTATTTTAGGATTATTTATGAAATAGTATTTATTCATATTTTGAATTAGCTCTTATTTTCAATTTAAATATATTTTTGTATAGCTCTAATTTATATTTATTTCAGTTCTTCATCTAATATTTTTATTTAATTTCAGCTTTATTTCAAATACTGAAAATGATTTTTAATACATTTAGTTTTAGTAAACTAACAATATACTATTGTAGTCTTTATTTTACTTACTTATTTTATTCATATTTTGCCTTTATTTTATGTATTTTCAGTTTTAATTTTAATTGTGATTTTTTTTATTATTATTAATATTAATCTTTTGGGCCATTTTAGCTTTTTTCAGTTTTAGTGCTTAAACTTATTTCAGTTCATTGCCAAGACAGCATTTGTAAAAAAAAATTAAGCTAAAGTTTTTCATCTAACATTCAAATGTTTTTATTTAAATGTTATTTTATTATGAGATATTTTAGTTAACAAAAATTATTTCTAATCATTTTAGTTTTAGTTAACATAACAACACTAATGAATCTCAATCTATTTGAAGTGCTTTGGTATGAGCTGGTTTTATTATTATATCTTGATCGTGTGTGTGTGTGTGTGTGTGTGTGTGTGCGTGCGTGCCTGTGTGTGTGTGTGTGTGCGTGTGTGTGTGTGTGTGTGTCACCCTCAGACGCAGTTTCGGGAACGCTTCTCTGGCTCATCACCTGATCGTCATGGAGGAGTTGGTCCGACGTGATAAAAACCATCCTTCTGTGGTCATGTGGTCTGTGGCCAACGAGCCTGCGTCTGAAATGCCGCCCGCGGGACAATATTTCAAGTGAGACCAACTAAATATGAAAGATTTATTTAATGGTTACAGATGAAACACTGACCTTCTGTTGTTGTAGCGTAATGCAAACTATGTACAGTCTTAAATCTTGCTTTTAACGGGGTCATGACATGGATTTTATTACTATTTTAAAATGTTCCTTGGGGTTCACTTATAAAAATGTGTAAAAAGTATATAAAAAATATATAAATGCAGAAAATATAAAATTTTCAACCCTCATTCTGAGCCTCAGTCTGAAATGATCAGTTTTTAAGACACGGCTCCTTTAAGGCTTCTCAGTAAAAGCCACTGTTATGATTGGCTAACGTCATTGCATAGGAAACAGTATCAATGAACACTCTCTATTTCAGGAGTAAAACATTATCCATATAAACCCATATAAAGCATTATGAAATAATTTACTCACTTCTTGTGATGCAGCTGCTGTCAGATCCAATACAGCTTTAGTGAACTCTCCATTACACTTTACAAAACCAGCTTTAGTCAAACGCTCCGAACAAACATATCATCCTCCGACGCCATCCACTTGTGTCCGACACTGGGATCCTCCTGAAGTCTGTACAGAGACTCAAACGATCTGTTAAAACTGGACGCATCAAAGCGAACGCTCTTTCACTCTTCCGTCTGTAACACACATCTGTATCAGTGTATCAGCGTCAGTCGTTATAATGGCTTCTGTTTGCTTCTGACGCGACGCTCAGTGAAGGCAAATGTCAGCCGTCAAGCGACTGAACGCCAGTGGGCGGAGCCTATGATGTAATGATGTATAACGATTGGTCGATGTGTTGCTCTGGAGGCGGGCATATAAATGTATTTGCCCGTGTGACGTCACAGATCCCGCAATATCCAAACGAGCCGTTTTTGGAGCTTGATTAAGTAAATGCTTTGTTTATAATGAGGAGGACGTTTTAAGATATGAAACTTGCAGGATGCTTTATTGGTACAAAGACCTTTTATATGTCAGAAGATCAAGGAAATTTGATTTCATGTGTTATGAAAATCCTGTTTTCCATGACCTTTAATGTGATGCAAGGGTGTGTATATGTGTGTTTTGGTGGTGTTTTCTCTGTGTTCATGTCAAGCTGTTGTTTTGACAGTGATAACGCATCATAATAGGGTGTGTGTGTGTGTGTGTGAGTCTTGTTCAGCGGGTGTAAAGAATGTCTTCAGGGAGAAACACCTGCTCTGACACACATTCCTGAGGATCATAAAGACGATTCACTGAGTCTCAACAGCTTTAGCTCTTCATGCATGATAGTGATGCGATATGCATTTGCAAATAACGTCCGTTTGAATTATTAATGCTTGATAGTACAATATTAAACTTAATGCCATGATGTTAATGTCCCTTCTGTCTGCATCACTGACGTTTGACTAGTTTCTTGTTCCCTTTCCCGTGGCCATGGAGAATCTGGAAATGCTAAAATTGTGATTTTCACAACTGGATTTTTTTATTTATATATATATATATATATATATATATATATATATATATATATATAAAAAAAAAAAAATAAATGAGTGAAAAATAATATGAATTAATTCATTAAAATAAATAAATAAAATAAATTCAGTGGTAACACTTTACAATCAGGTCAAATTAATTAATGTATTAACTAACAATGAGAAATACATTTGTTACAGTATTTATTAATCTTTAATGTTTTGTTAACGTCAGTTAATAAAAATACAACTGTTCATTGTTACCTGGATTTATATATATAAATTATGTAAAATAAATGAGTGAAAAATAATATGAATTAATTCATTAAAATAAATAATAAATCAAATAAATACTTTGGTAACATTTTACCATCAGGTCAAATTAGCTAATGTATTAACTAACACATACATTTCTTACAGTATTTATTAATCTTTAATGTTTTGTTAACGTCAGTTAATAAAAATACAACTCTTAGCTCACGTCCATTAAATAAATGAACAGATACGACTTGATTTTATTAATATATGAGTGAATGTTGAAAAAAAGTATTGTCCATTTGTTAGTTCATGTTAACTAAAATAGATAACTAATGTTATTAAACGTTGCCAGTAAGTTTATGATATAAAGTAAATGATAGTAACAAATAAATATTTAACTTTAAATAAAGTATCACACATCCTGGAAAGTCATAGAAATCAATACAATTGTATATTTAATCAGCCAGAAATGTCTTATGGTGAGTCATTAATCATTATTAATTATTTTAAATAATAAAATAAGACATCCTTATGCAGTAATCATGAAAAAAATGGCAAATAACTGTTTAAATCCTGTTTTTAAACTGAGAATAGGTCATTTTTTCAATCTCGGACTAAATTCGTAGTGTCAGAAAACACGTCTTAACCGGTTTTTCTTTTTTCCGTAGGGAACTCGTGTCTCACACCAAATCTCTGGACTCCAGCCGGCCGGTCACATTCATCACCAACAGTAACTACGCCAGAGATCTAGGGGTGAGACATAAACCACACATTTGAGACATTTAGTTTTAAGTAACTAATATGTTGCAAAGTAATCATTTCACAACCTAATACCTTCTGACCTTCTTATTTCAGCTGTTTAAACAAGGCTTATCTTATATTTCTTGCTATCATGTTGAGTTGAACTACAGTAGATCTGCACCATTAAAGTTTATTTTAGATTAATTTACTTCCCCCTGAATGCTGCAAACATACAGACCTGATTATATATATATATATATATATATATATATATATATATATATATATATTAGGGGTGTAACGATACCCTGATGTCACGATTCGATACATATCACGATACTGAACTCACGATACGATATTATTGCGCTACTCATGATAAAAGGTTAACACTTTTTTTCACTGTTGATTAAAATGCTAAATTTGATATTACATTGTGTGTGTAAATGAATCGGCTTGGACTCTGTGCTGGAAACCCAAAGCACAGGACAATAGAGACACCAGAATAACAATATTCATGATTCTGAAGCTGAAAACAGAATTATTTTAGACAAATATGCTTTACTCGTTCACTGACTAGATATATTTAAAATAATGTTGGCCACTTTTTACACAAATATTCCCCCATTGCATTATTATACATTATATTCAACATTATAAATAGTAGTTTAATGCTGACACTAAAACTCTGAAAACTTCACACATACATTTTTATTTTGGGTGAACTATCCACAATACATATTGTCACTATCAATGATACATATTGTTGTATTTTTGTATTGCGGTATATTGCGACATGATATATTTTTACACCCCTAATATATATATATATGTATGTATGTATATATATCTTTTGTTTCTGTGTTGTAAATGCTGTTTGTGTTGACGTGTTCTCGTCCTCAGGCCCCGTATGTGGATGTTATTTGTATAAACAGCTATTTCTCGTGGTATCATGACCCGGGTCACACAGAGGTCATCGGCCTTCAGCTCAGCGCTCAGTTTGATAACTGGTTTGGGAAATACAAGAAGCCCATAATCCAGAGCGAGTACGGAGCGGATGCTGTTGCTGGTCTACACAGCGTAAGTCCACAAATTACACAAAACATAATAATATGAGCATGTCTGAGAACACATTTCATTAAATATGTTTCATTTGAACCTTGTCTGGCTTCACGAGGTTAGAATGAATGTCTCCTGCTGATGGCATCATAAGAATATTATATATGTTATTGACCTTTTATTAATTTATTTATTATTTATTTTATTATTTAATTTATTATTGCTATGTTGTAACTATTGGCATTTGTTTCTTTTTTTGTACTATGGATCTTCCATTTTGAGTCCTGAATAAAGTCATTATTATATATATATAAAATAATAATATATAGACATTTGATTCACTAAAGAAATCAGAACTTTTGTCGTAAGAATTTATATTTTATATACTTTTTTTAACTTAGATATATAGATATAAATTTTTTTTATTCTCTTAAGGAATTATGCATATTAGACATTTTGTTATAAAAATATTTATTGTATATATATTTAGATATAAATATTTACTTCTATGATAAATAGGTCTATATATACAAATGTATTTGATTAACAAAAAATGATGCAAATCAGATTTTATATCATAAGATTATGGATATTTTATACTCTTAATTTGGGGGGGTTATGTATTTTTTGACTCAATAAAGGAATAATGCAAATCTTTTGTCTTAAGAATTCAAGTATGTATTGTGTGTGTATGTATACAATATAAGTGAATCATACATTTATGCAAATCAGATCTGATGTTATACGAATATTTATATTATAAATATATATATACAGGTGAAACTCGAAAGATTTGAATTGAGTTCATGTATTTCAGTAATTCAAATTAAAAGGTGAAACTAATATATTTAGTATATATAACTATATACATATGCATGATTATACTTTTCAGAGGGCCGACATTTCTGTATTTAAAATCCTTTTTTTATTGATTTCATATTCAAATTTTCTGAGATTTTGAATTTGGGGTTTTCATAAGCTGTAAGCCATAATCATCAAAATTATAACTTTTGCACGATATTCAAATTTGTCGAGTTTCATAGTTGCGGCTGGCTGTTTAAGTAGTTATTTAGCCAGGTGTGGTAAAACGCTGGTTTCTGGTGTGTTTGTGGTCCTGCAGGATCCACCCATGATGTTCACAGAGGAGTACCAGAAGACGGTCCTGCAGAACTACCACAGCGTGTTCGACCAGAAGAGGAAGGAGTTCGTCATCGGAGAACTGATCTGGAACTTCGCCGACTTCATGACGGCTCAAAGTAGGAAATAACCGCAGCCTTTTCTCTTTTACACATCAACAGGCATAAACTGGTCACTCACGCACGCTTTTGATAAGAGCATGAACACGTGTCAGATGGATCATGGGTGATTATCAGCAGGTCCACATGGAATCGCCACACTTTATTTGCACATTTTCATGCAACTCGTAGTTTAAGGAAAGCAGTCCCTTCAGGTGCTTAACAAGTCTTACATTCAGTTTGATTAAAGTCTACATATCATAAGTGATATAAGAAGAATCTTAATTATCATTTCAAGAGATCTTAAATATGGGGACAGAAAAATTGAAAACACGATATAGCTTAATCTGATTGATTATTATATCAAGCGATGACTCGCTTGCTTTAGTCCTCAGTTGTAAGTCGCTTTGGATAAAAGCGTCTGCTAAATGACTAAATGTAAAACGTATAAGTGATTCTGTCATTAATTACTCACGCTCATGTCGTTCCAAACCTGTCAGACAATCGTTCATCTTCAGAACACAAATGAAGATCTTAATGAAATCTGAGAGCTTTCTGTCCCTCCATTGACAGCTACACAACTACACCTTTAACGCTTCAAAAAAATCATAAAGAGATCCTGAAACGAATCCATATTTATTGAGCGGTTTAGTCCAAATGTTCTGAAGAGACTCGATCGCTTTATATGATGAAGATTGAATTTAGGCTTTTATTCACATATAAACATTGATCAGAGAACATAAACAGAAGCTCAACCGTACTTGCTTGATGCGCTAGAACAGTTTATATGTGAATAAAAGCCTAAATTAAATCTCTTCACCATGTACAGGTGAAACTCGAAAAATTTGAATATCGTGCAAATAGACTCATTACATGCAAAGTGAGATATTTCAAGCTTTTATTTGTTATTTTGATGATTATGACTTAAAACCTTTTCACAATATTCTAATTTTGAATTTGGGGTTTTCATAAGCTGTAAACCATAATCCTCAAAATTATAACAAATAAAGGCTTGAAATATCTCACTTTGCATGTAATGAGTCTATATAATATATTAGTTTCACCTTTTAAGTTGAATTACTGAAATAAATGAACTTTTGCACGATATAAAAATTGTTTGAGTTTAATGTGTATATATATATATATATTAGTGTTGTCAAAAATACCAACTTCGGTACCAAGTCGGTATTTAAATTTTAAAAAATGTGACGATACCAGCATTGCATTTTGAGCGCTGTTGAGTGGCCTCTTAAACTCCTCTGATTGGCCATTGTGTTCACACGCTCAAAAGATATAATATCATTTTGCATCCTTACTTTTCTTTAACAATGGGTTAAAGGCTGAAACATTATTTTTACAGTGATTTCACGCTTTAGGATGTTACAGTAGACACTGCTCTTCCCCACACATATGCTGTTCATTTGATTTAAAAGCGTTCAAAGCCCTGATCCCGTCATCTCTCTCTGTCTCCAGCCATCGCTCGAGTGGTTGGGAATAAGAAAGGGATCTTCACTCGGCAGCGGCAGCCCAAAGCCGGAGCGTTTCTCCTGCGGGAGCGATACTGGAGGATCGCCAACGAGACCGGCGTGTTGCCCACCTGGACCAGGTATCCCTGCCAGTGAGCGATCCACTGTCCCTGAGCATGCTGGGTAACAGGAACACCTGCTGGGAATGAGCCGTTTATCAAGTAACAGTGCCTTACACTTCCTACACCGTGACAATCACACAGATCTGTTGTAACGCTGGGGTTGTGTGATGAACACATGTGCTGTCAGATCTTTGTCCATGTTACAAAAATGTTTGTGCGCTTAAAGGATTAGTTGACCTCAAAATGAAAATTTCCTGATAATTTACTCACCCCAATGCCATCCAAGATGTTCATGTCTTTCTTTCTTCACTGGAAAAGAAATTAAGTTTTTTGAGGAAAACATTTCAGGATTTTTCTCCACACAATGGACTTCAATCGCAACCAACATGTTGAAGTCCAAATCAGTGCAGTTTCAGAGGGTTTGAAGAGCTTCACACGGCTCTGCTCGATCCCAGCTGAGGAACAGGGTCTTATCTAGCCAAACCATCGGCCATTTTCTAAAATAATTAAACATTTATATACTTTTTAACCACAATTGTTGGTCTTGTGTCTTATTTGTCTGTGTACTCCGGTTCAAAAAGGCAGGGAAAGGCCAAAAAATCCCTTCTGATTTTCTCCCGTTTTCTCCTCCAACTTCAAAATCGTCTGACATCTTTCTTTTAATTTAATATTATTATAAAAAAAAAAAATTTGACGTTTCAAACGTGATGATGTAATCCCTGGCGCGTCGCAGACCAGCACAAGACCAACAATTGTTCTTTGCCTTATATTTACTCATATTGGAATCGTTTTACAGAAGATATTGTGTGGAAAAAGGTTTGGCTTATTACCTAATCAATATTTAATTACAAACAAAGTTAAGGAGGTATCATTCAAATTGATACATAGAATATACCCTGTAAAACATTACTTTATAAAATTTAAAAGTGATATTGATGTTAATTGTACCTTTTGTGACAGGTTCATTTATTTTGGCATTGCCCATTTGTAAGACCATTTTGGCAAAATGCCTGTGATTTTATCACAAGAAACATTGATGACCAATTTATGTTGTTTTGGAAACATATTTTATTTGGGAGAACAGTAGAATCAAGCATTGTCAGATTTATATAATTAATTTTATTCGTTTAATGGCAAAATTTTATGTTCATAAATGTAAATTCTCCTGTAAAAAAACTTATTTTACTTCATTCAGGAAAGAAATTGAGCTTTATATTGATTCACTCCGATTTTCTATGAAGCAAAAAGCAATTAAAACATTGACAATTTCATATAAATTAGCAATAGCCCCCTAGCGTGAAAGTCTTTGTTATATCTATGTTGTATGTCAATTATGTATACACAAGTGTTTGTACAAACTTTGTTAATAATAACCCCCCCCCCCCCCCCCCCCAAAAAAAAAAAAACAAGACGAACAATTGTGGTTAAAAAGTATATAAATGTTTTTTTTTGTTTTTTTTTAAATGAGCGATCGTTTCAAATTTTCATTTTGAGGTCAACTAATCCTTTAAGAAACGCGGCAACACTATTAAACTGGAACAGGAATGTCTTTCCTTAAAATGTGCCTTATGCCGTAATTCATGTTGTGAATGTTTACAATGATATTCAGATGAGTGAATCTCATGAAACCTGTCAGGTCTGAGTCCGGCACATGTTTGACCTCAAAAGAAATAAAATACAAGACTTAAAGGGAATGCAAGACGCATTTCTTGCCAAATTCATTTCTTTAATGCAAGAAATATTTGCATCGCAGTCATAGCAATATCTAATGTGCATCTAATAGGGATCGTCATTGAGAAAAATAAAAACATAAATTTAATGCAATGAGAATTTAAAGAAATTTGTATTTATGGTAACACTACAATAAGGTTGCATTAATGTTATTTAATGCATTAACTAACAACGAGCAATGCATATGTTACAGTATTTATTCATCTTTGCCAGCTCAGGTCCATTAAATAATAACAGATTTTAATAATGCATTTGAAATTAACATTAACTAAGATTAATAAATGCTTTAGAATTATGTTTCATTGTTAGTTCATGTTTACTAAGTGTATTTTAACAAATGAAACCCTACTGTAAAGTGTTACCGTATTAATAAATCATGGAAATATTTGTTCTAATGCCATAATGCATATTTAATGAGAATTACACACAAAAAAAACATGCAGATGTAATACAGTGAGAATTTATTTATTTATTTAATTTTCATGAAAATCTCTAAATACAAAATAAAATGAAAATAGATCAATAAAAATAGATAAATACATTATTTTGAGGTGAAATGTGACCTGGACTTGTTATCCTGAGATTCACTGAAACACCTTCATGTTTCCCATAAGGCCACTGGGTACTTTACTGGAAGTACTTTAGTAAACCGGTGTTTTCTATTCATTTCAATCAACTATTATTGTAATAATTGGCTCCAGTCTTTCATGACCTCCATATTTCACGTTTTGAGTTTCATGTGTTGTGTTGATTTGTATGATAGTAGAGTGAACTTTACTTTAACTCTTTCCCTGCCAGTGTTTTTAAATAAAGTTTCCAGTTTATATGCTGGTCAATGTAGTAATGTGCGTTTCCGAAAAGCTTGGAAACCTTTGCGAATCATTTGTTTTGAACCAGTGATATCAAAATGTGATTTCAGTAAACAAGGCTTCGTTACATCAACTTTTTCGAAACTTGATTGGTTCACCAATAGATGATCTCTCTGAAGCATAGACTAAACCCCTGAACCAGTGTCTATATAGTGTTTAAAAAGTTTCATGAATTCGTTAATATTTTTAATGACACATTTGTAGATTAAAAAGGCAGTTTGAGTTAATAGTCTCTTATTGGCCTGATTAAACCGAGCTCTCCATCAGACAAACCCTACAATTTAATCAAATAACACATATTATACAGACACTTCATATTGAATGGTATTAGATGATTTATTAATTGCATTTAATAGATACCATTTTCAATAAAACATTTGCAATTGCTTTGTAAAAGGCGTTTTTGAGGAGTTTGTTGCATTTACACGGTTTGACCAGCAGGGGCCGCCATCTTGTGGCATTCCGAACACTTCAAAACAGTGAATTATTTTGCAAAGCAATTGATTCAAAGTTTCGAAAAGCGTTGTTTCTCCCATCACTAGCTTAATGTTTGATGATCACGGTATCGCTGGTCTCTGCTTCTTCTTCTCCTGTGTTTTGAGCTGGAGATTCTGCACTCTTTCAGTAGATGTGTGATAGCGCCCCCTGCTGTATAACTGTATAAACCTGGATTTCCGGCGGGGGAAGAGTTCATTACTTTTATAATAAGCAATTCAATGAGTCCTTTGTTTTGTGGACATTCCAGACTTTTCTCAATGATGTCATCAAAATAAACAACATTCCACAAGATCATTCCTGAGATTTATGGATGTTCATGTTATTGCCATCAGAAACATATCCTAGATTCAGTCGAGATTTATTAATACACACCTTTTCAAGAGTAAACGCTCAAGAAACATGATTCAGCAGACGAACATGGATAAGATGATATAATATAGACAGCTAGAATGATCATTTATGTTGGTTTGACAGCTGTTATTGCACTTATTTAAAGGGGTCATATAATGCCATTTTTGTAGAAGCTAATATGATTCTTTAGGGTCTAAATTAAAAGTTTGTAATATACTTTAATTACAAATTCTCATTAGTATTGTAAGAAAACACTTATTTTACCTGGTCAAAAACAGCTCTGTTTTCAGCACGCCGTTTCAGTGCATATGACTTTAAAAGATGAGTTTTGCTCACCCCGCCTCTCTGTTCTATGCTACACCGTTTGTAACACAATAACACAATAACCATAACGCGTTGTTCAGTATAAACGTGGAATTATGAATTATATTGAGAACATCATACATAGAAAACATGCCGTAATGTACCCTAAGTGTAAACCTTAGACGCATTCATTGTGAAGCGTGCAGCTAGCGATTTACAAGGATTAATATAAATATTAATATAAAGTTTAATAAAACGTTACACTCACTTCAGTTGTTCTAGAGGTTCAGCAGGAACACTAATATCTGGTACCGATCCTTTTTTCATGAGCAGCTTCTTAGCAAATCCAGCTTTATACTGACCCTCGTTTATAAAGCAGTCTGCTGTGAAATGATTCGCGCAAACATGAAAGCATTGACGTTGCTCGTGGGGAATATTCCCTTCGAAAACAAACTCAGCCACTGCGTCTTCAGCGGTTCGGATTCAGGAACATTAAAATGACTGTGTTCGTTATTACACCCAAGAACAGAACACCACAATCGCTTAGACGCCATTCTGCTCATAGACAGTGCTCCAGCATATCAACAATGACCGCGCCGGTCCGCGCAGACTATGATTGACAGCTCTCACGAGCGAGGGCGGGTCTGTGTTGAAACGCTCCTGTCAATCAACAATCGTGGGAGGGGCTTCTGACCGTGTGACGTCACACGGTCGAACGGCTTGATTTGAGGCAGGGGAAAACATATAAGAAGATTAAAACAAAAACACTGGATGGATTTTTATCATTATATGATGGTTGTGTACAGGCACTGCCAACACACATTTCAGTACAATCAACTTGTAAAAGTGCATGTACCATTATATGACCCCTTTAAGGCTTCACATCTACTGAACACGACTCAAACTGCGTCCGACAGGTTGATGGAGGCATAAAAAAAACATTTGTTGTTTTTCTTCCGACTCCTGCTTTTTACTGTCCAGTGTTAATGCAGCGTATGCTTTATTAAACAACGTACTGTGATGCATCATTGCTGTAAAGTGTTACCATGGAAACAGCTTTACTTCATGCTGGTTTTAAAGTCTGGAAATAATGTTTAGTTAGTAGATGGAGGAAGTCTGAGACCAAGATAAAAATGTTAAAATACACTCTGGTTCAAATGCATAATCACAAGACTTGCAGGGATAGTTCACCCTAAAATGAAAATGTCGTCATTAATTAAATACTCACGCTCATGTCACTCCAAACCTGTCAGCCTTTCGTTCATCTTCAGAACCGGATGAAGATCATTTTAATGAAATCTGAGCGATTTCTAACCATCCATTGACAGCTACGCAACTACCACTTTTGACTTTTCCTCGAGTGAGTTCTCGTAGTGTAACAGCGCAGCGCTTCTGTGTTGTCCGTCACACACACACACACACAAACACACACGACCAGCGTCGGCCAATAGTGAGCCTGCGTGTGACGGACAACCCAGAAGCGCTGCGCTGTTACACTACGTGAACTCACTCGAGGCCCACAGAGAAGGAAATGAATAGTTGAATAAAGTCGTTATTTTTGTTTGTTTTTTGCGCACAGAAAGTATTCTCGTCGCTTGATAAACTTAAGGTTGAGCCACTGTAGTCACTCGGACTATTTTAACGATGTCTTTCATAACTTTTCTGGGCCGGCAAGTTTCAATCCCTTAGAAGCCTATGGAGGAGTGATCCAGCTCTCAGATTTAATAAAAAATATCTTAATTTGTGTTCAGAAGATGAACGAAAGTCTTACGGGGTTGAACAACATGAGGGTGAGTAATTTTCATTTTGGGGTGAACTATCCCTTTAACCCTTGTGCATCAATTAAAAAAAAGTTACACATAGGTACACAGAGGACAAAAATGTCCGTGTTTAAAAACTCATAAAAATGTGAAGCTTAAGTTTGGTATCATTTTAAAGAAGACCCTTGGCAGATTATTGCTGAAGTAAAAAAATGATAATAAGTAAATCCCAAAAAAAGTTATATAGGTATAAGTTTATGAAAATAATTTTATACAAAATATATATTTTATAAATCAAGTTGAACTCTAAAACGGCAAGAAAATAAAAGGCATAAATCTAAATAAACTGTGTTCCAAATTTGAGGATGATATCGCAAAAAATGAGCTTTCGGTAAGAGTTTGTTTGGGCGCAGTAACACATTTTCCCCATTGGGTGCAAGCAAAACTTTTTGTTATTTGCAGTTGAGTTTTTCTCTCTCAATATTACAAACACACACATGCACACATATTTTTTTATAACACACATACTAACCACACTCTGACATCCATACCAACACACCCACACAAATATTATATCGTTGCATAATTTAACCAATTGGCTCTATAATATGCCGAAGCAGAAAACAGGAATAAAGCGATATTTGTTTTATAGGCCAAACCCCAAAATATGGCACCATCTGCTAAAAAAATTGTAAAAATTAAAATTTTGAAGCCTTGTCAACAGAATGAAAGCCTCTTAACAAAGATTGCATCATTTTATAGTTGAATGGCCCTGAGATTAAAAATTGCAGTTTTAATGGGTTTCAATGGGGACATTTTTGTCCAAAAGGCGCTAAGTGGGAGTATTTTGTGTAGCTAGTGCAAAAAAGATTTTTTTTAAAGAAAATGGCAGTGAAATAGTAAAATGACAATAAAAACACACACCTGTGCCAAATTTTATGCAGTTAGCATTAACACAGGCAAAGTGATAAAAATGTCCATAGGGATGCACAAGGGTTAAGAGTGCATCATAGTATGCTAGTTCAACACATTTCTCTCACACGGTCAAAGGACTAAAGGGGTCAAAGACGTCTGGGGGAATGTTTTAATGGCAGATCAAATCCACACAACAACGACACGCGTTAATGTTCACTGCAGTGTCTCCTCCAGCTGATTCCCAGACACAGATCTTTCTTCCGACGTCCTTCTGCGTTCTCCATAACACGTAATCCATGTAGGAGAAAACAGCATTTTTTAACTTAAATTCATATTTGGCAAATACAGAAGCAAACCGAAACACAGTTCATTTTCCACAAAAGAAATACCCCAAAAAAAAGGTGCGTTCGAAATAAAAAAAACGACGCCAAACATGGAATCCGTCCATTTCTCATTTCTGTTTATCTACTAAAATATGCTTTAACGTTAACAGTCTGTACATCTACAGGGGCTCGTCGTCGACGAGACGCCCCGACAATTACATCAGGAAAGAAAAAATGCTATCTGAAACTCACATTGTACAATTCTCAGGACTGACGTGGTGTGTTTGCAGAAAACATCAGAAATAATACAAAGATGAGTGAAGGAACAACCAAATCGCGGTATGGATTTGGGTTTACAGTGTTTTTGCTTTTTTTAACAGTGAGATATCGAGTTAAGGATACTGGTTATGAGACAATACCGAGATAATACCAATCTAAGGACAGACTTAAACCGAACCGGTTTATAATCGAGGCTGAAGTTACTCCAAGGCCCAGTGGACATACAGAAGGCACTTTTAATGAAATTTAAAGTTGTGAAGGCAAGCCTTTCTTTGTCATTTTTGGGGGATCTTGTCATTTGAATTGGACATAAATTTAAATGTCATCATCTTTAAAGTCAATATAAGTTCAAAACTGACTATTTACTTCACGTTCCTGCTGTTTAATGATTGGTCCGGTGCACATTATTATTCGCAATGTTTGTTATCTTAAAAATAAAGGCTCCAAAAGAAGGTTTTCACAGCATTTCCATAGAATTATTATTTTTGGTTCCTCAAAGAAACTTTCAGTAGCGACGTTTCCATTACCCTTCAAATTGCGCAAATTGAAATTGGAAACACGTAAATTTCGCAAAAACTCCTGTTTATCGCTAAAAAGTTTTTACGCTCGCATGAAAAAGCGTAAAATTTGAAAAAGGAATATTTCGCAAAACTGCTATGGAAACAGTTTTTGCGCGTTTACAGTCTCCTGACGTAGATGACGCGGTGTGTTTGGACAGAATACGAGACAGAGTTCTTTATTAAACTCATAAAAGACAAAAGAATTACAGGAATAATGGATTCTGAACCTCAAAGAAACGCCACAATCACGAGCTGGAAGCAGAAATGAGGAGAAACACAGAAACTCCTCATATGTGCCGTTCACAGTATAAGAGTCTTTTCCTTGCCATGAATGCTTGGATAACACACACACACACACACACACACACTCCTTCCATTAATAATAATAATAATATTGTCTATTGCGGTGGCTGATATATATAAACCTACCAACATCCGTCGCCATGATTTTTGGCATGACTTAACGCGAGAGGAAAAAACGACATTAGTCGCATAACATCGGTTAAAGGTACAATATGTAGGAATTTTGTAATAAAATATCCAAAAATCACTTGCACAGTGTGATATGTTTCCTGCAGTTGTGTACTTACAATATCCCAAAAGTCTCCAAAGATTTTTTTATTTAAGAGAAATTCCCATTTTAAATAAGTGGCCGTCCCGGAAAAAATGTCGCCTGTCAATGACGCAATATCCGCGCTATCCTCGGTTTCCGCTCGTACCGCCGTAGCCATGACGTAACCATGGCGACAGACGTGGAAAACTGCGTACGTTTAGCGGCACGCAGTTCTTGTTTCTTTCAAACATAGACCATGGCAAGCAGACTTTGGGACAAACAAGGAGAACTAAAATGAGGATCAACATCAGCGTGGCGTTTTTGAGATGCCGAGAGCTAGCGTCCGCGACTAACATGGACTCGACAGAGCTTCACGAGTCGCGACAGCTTTATTAGACAGGAGAGCAAATGTACATAAAACAAATCAATGTTATATAACGTTAGCTCAACATGATGAAATATTAGAATATGGTCAGTAGTTGATCTAGCTTAACGTTACTGCTAGTTTCGTATAGCAAACGAACTAACACGTAGTATAACATTATAACTTTCAACACATTTAAATGGCGTTTAGTGTGATAGTGTAACGTTAGACCAAGTGAAGCAGCGCTGCGTTACCTCACAAGTTTAATTCATCTAATAAACTGACCTGTGTGAGTAATCCAGCACTTGCGGGTAGTTCGGTAGAATTAAATGTCCTTATTCCTTTATATCCGCGGGACTTGCGTGTGGTATCTGTCTCTTTAGCAATCGCGACCCGCTTCATACCACTGTAATGTTAAAAACATGAATGTTTGCACTCCTCCATAAACATTATTAGATCCAAAAGCTTGACAGCAAGTCCCATCATTCAGCTCATCACTGCATCATCAACCTACGCCTTTGTTATTGTTGGAAACTGCGCCCTCTTGTGGCGAAAAAAAACCTACATATTGTGCCTTTAATGGAAACGCCATCATTTCGCAATAGTTTATCGATATTTAGAAAAGTTTTGCGCAAATCTGTAATGGAAACGCGCTCAGTGAAAAGTCTTTGTGCAAAATATGGAACCATTAATAACAATAAAGAACCTTTATTTATAAGGGTGTTTAATAACTTGAAATTACTTTACTTTGAAGATAATGTCATCTAGATCGCTCAGGCTATTGGCTAATAAAACAAATTGAGGAAACACACAGTCAGGTCCTTTTCACAATCCCTAATGGATAAACTCGATCTCTAGACACTGGATGTCTTTTCACTCTAGAACACGTCACAGTACTCAAGTAAAACGGGTTTCATGTTGACTTTGATGGGAGAAACGGTGATTCTGGCATCAACTTCTCTGCGTTGAATATATAAAACCAACATAACTCACACACGATTCAAGATGCTAATCTACAAATCCAATCAACTCTTGTAGAATTGAGCTGTGTAACTAACTACGTTTCGATTTGTCCGCTCTGACCACTCAGGTTTGGCTGGTAACGCTTAACGAAGATGCATTGTTTAGTTCAGCCATATAGACAAAGACGTCAACCACAAGTCGTGCTTCACAAAAGCATCATCAGTGCTGCTCAATACACAGTTTCCAATGAACGGTCAAATAAATTAGGAAATAACTCAACATCACCAAGCCATACACTTTAGTTTGGGTAGATACCATTTTTAAATTGATGTGAATGAACCCAAGACTGTGAGGGATAAAAATACAGATTTGAGTCCAAAATCAGTTTTCAAATGTCCATCACAACCTTATTTTCATTCACGAGTTCACAAAACTAATTCTGTTAACTTCACATTAACACAAAGCACCTGATGGCCGTTCGAAAACTGAAATTAGCTCAACAATCGCCAGAAAACGTCGACGAGCAAGTTTGACTCGTCCAATACTGGATTGGATAGTTGGTAAATTCAGATCAAGTTTTCAACAAAATAATGACTTTCAGTGTCCAACACGACAGCACAAGACATAGACGGAAAAATTGGACATACTTTAACTCGAAATAAATTAAAAGAGGGATGAAAACTGGCAGGTTTTGACTCATCTGTGGACAATTAGATGTTGCAACTTTCCCAACAGCTGGAGACAAATACTGAGAGGTAGCGGTGAGAAAAACCGAGAGTTGTGGGTACTTTTGTAGGGTGACGGCGGGCAGAGGGGCTTATGGGTAACAACAGTGGGGTAAATTACACAACAGTATTACAGTAGATGTGATGTCAATCATGCTACAACATAAAAATCTTCAAAAAGACACAAAAATAAGAAACCGTATCATGACATGCGACGGACTTGAATTAAAATAGACCTAAACTCAAACACAAAGGGAGAGATTGACTAGAGTACTTACGAAACCAATAATAAAAGTAGTTAACTCAAAGCTGACGTCTCCAGGAACACACTGGTCTTTTCAATCGGAATTTGTCGGAATTTCCACAATTATGAGTTACGAGTTTATTAAAGTTGAAGAATTGTGCAAAGCTCTAAATTCTGAGTTTTATGAAAGTGCAGGTTGACATTATATAAATGCCCTAAACTTCAGCAATACATGGGTAGATAAAGGGCTAGTTCACCCAATAACTTAAAACTTGTCATTAATTACTCACGCTCATGTCGTTCATCTTCAGAACACAAATGAAGATCTCGGTTTAGTCCAAATTTTCTGAAAAGACACGGTCGCTTTATACGCTGAACAGATTGAATTTAGGCTTTTATTCACATATAAACATTGGCTGTGTCCGAAATCTCCACTCAAACCACTACTCCCTAACCCCTATGTAGGGGGTAGGGAGTAGAGCACTATATAGTGAGCTCACCAGCATAATAGAAACACCACTTTCGGACACTACTCGATCGTCTCTCGGCGCCGTTGATTAAACGTGCCATCATCTGTCAGCTGGTGGCGAGCCAGCTCTGGGCTAAATAGATTTTTTTTTATATATATATAAATACATTACATTATATTGAGCTTATTTCTCCAAAATTGTAAACTTAAGTCATTTCTGGCCGTTTCTGTTATAATGCGTTACTCCACACATGATTATAACTTATAAACATAAATAAAATTAATACACATTTCATATATTTTCATTTTCGCGCCACACCGTTTTCTCTTGCCTGTCGACATTAGGAAAAAAAAAACAGCTCTACGTTATCAAATATCTTGCTCATAATACTCTTAATAAAACAGCTTTTAGACTCTGTGGAGATGCCACTCAATATTTATCTTTTTTGTTTGTTTGTTCTCGTGATTCAGAAGATTTTGCGGATTAGCAAAAGAAACTAGGAAACAGAAAACGACGTGCTGTTCTTGCTACGCTAGCGAGACGTCGTCAAATTGTAAGTTAAAGATGAAGATGATGCTGATAGGTCTTTTACGATCAGCGCAATGCATGATGGTATGTGGGGCTTGGGTTAGTGACCATCGGTTGTACACTACTTTTCAAAATGCATTCTGGGATACATTGAGTGGACTATATAGGGTATAATAATCATCACTATACATTCGGACAGCACTGCAAAATGGCGAGCTCACTATATAGTCCACTATATAGTGAGTAGTGGGAGATTTCGGACACAGCCATTGATCAGTGAACATAAACTGTACTTGCTTGATGCGTGAGAATGAACCTCATTGGTTCCCGCATGCTTGAGCTTTCGTTTACCACATCGAAAACCTCTCAGATTTCATGATGAATGAAAGTCTTACGAGTTTGGCGAGTAAATAATGACAAAATTGTCACTTTTGGGTGAACTGCTCCTTTAAGGAGCTACACATTTTACAGATTGATGTCATTTAAATACAGCCAATAAATTGGCAAGAGAATTCAGAAGGGAATTAATGCATCGATTTGGTCTTACACGAGCGCTGGCAAAGAAATAAATAATCCTCGAGTCTGAAGACCAACTGGAAAGATTGTCGTCCTTCATCTCATAATTACAGTAATTCCAACAGGACATAAATGCAGCATTTAATCTGGATCAAGACCCCCAACATAATGAGCACAACGCATGAAGAACAACTCACAATCGCTGTTGAAAGCACTCACTGGAAGTGACGGACATGCCGTAGATCGGGTCTTTTTAATGTTTCGACGGTAAAACACAAACTAGTCTGGAATATTGCTTTGCGGCAGCTATTTACAGAACTGCGAAACAAACAAATAAAAAAAGTAGTCACAAATAAATCTGATCTAGACACATACAGCTCACATTCTTGCTTGTTTTGAGTGGTCCTCTTCCAAAACAATAAAAAAAAAAAAAAACTGTAAACATAAAAAATTACACTTTATTTGTCGTTTTCGTGGAATCATCTCTGCGAGCAGTACATTAGCCTCATGATCACTCGTGTTTACCCTTTATAAACCTTTAAATTCAGTCCCGCTGGAATCAGCTGCTCCCAAAGAGCAACGGTTTTCCCAGTGGATTCAAGTAAACAGAATTTCTAAGTCTCACATTGTTCTACTCCGTTATTTTATTCCTCAGGGAAAGCACGCCTTTGACTGGAAGTTTCCTAAGAGCTTTCTGACTGCTCTCTCTCCCCCCTCTTTCTTTCTTTCTCTCTCTCGCGATCAAAGCGCAAACCTCATTTTCATCTCAGGGAACAAAGAAAACCAACAAGAAATCAAAACAGACAAAGATTTGTGTTTCTGTTTTCCAATCCTTCCAATAAACCTGTGATCTGTGGCCCCTAAAGTTACACGTTTTCTTCTCCTTGTTTAATTTTTCCATTTCGCTTACACACACACACACGCGCGCACACACACACACACACACACACGCACGCAACAGAATGAACATTTGTTTGGAAGCAAGGTCTCCTGGTGGCAAGTCACAAATTTTCAGAGGTCACATTTTCCGCACGTGTTGGATGATTTGTTATCCTTCTATACTTGTTGTGGTTGTTGTTGTGTGTCTAGTCCCGCTTGTCTTGGAGCTGCTGCTTCCAGGCCTCGTTCAAGTAAACCAGTCGCTTGTAGTTGAGCACAAACAAGATGAAGTTCAGTAGGTACGTGGTGACGCAGATGAAGCAGAAGTCCTTAAGGACGAAGTAGAGAATGTAGCCCAGGTACAGGGAGCCCATCACCGACGCGATGGAGGTGGTCATGAGAATCAAAGCGGCCATCGCACTGGCCGTCAAACCTACACACACACACACACACACACACACAGCAGTTAATGCACTGAAGCACTGCCAACATGAATTCACTGCCACATCAACTGAATTCAATATAATAACCTTCACACAAATGATGGTATGTGTAAGAATATGTAGATAAAAATGATGCAGCAAATTTATTTATTCATCATTAAATGTCATTCAGCATTATAAAGCTATATTCACAGAAACACCTATGTAATAACTAAAAGCAAAATACAACTAAACCATTTGCATTATAAAATCAACTGCAAAAAGTCATTTCATTAAAAAAAAATTACTATTTTTTTAAAGATTACTATTTTTGCACACATACCGTGTGTGTGTGTGTGTGTGTGTGTGTGTGTGTGTGTATATATATATATATATATATATATATATATATATACACACACAATATGGAAATAATAGTAATAAACAATATAATTCTTATAGAAAATCCAGTATAAAAAAAAACATTTTTAGTTATTTTAATGCCACATCAGCAAAGACATAATATAAAGACTTATTTGGTACACTACACACAAATAGATGTGTAAATAAATATACAATAAAATATGGGAATAATAATAAACAATATTCTTCTTATAACAAAAAATATGTTATCAGTTGAATCACAGTAAAATAAACAAATTTCAGATTTCGAGTTAGTTTAAACACTAATAATTGCTCTATAGATCACATTGAAATCCAGATCTTGCTGGTGTGTTACAAGATAAATCCAAGCCAAATGTACTCAACTCCTTCACTTGTCACTTCACATGCCAAAACAATGAATACTGAATGAATGACACGTATTGTCACTCAGGCTGTGTTTCTATTTCTGTAACACACAGAGACGCTGCCTATGTAGAGCGTTTCAAATCACACACTCATGAGGTTGCATTGCAGTTAAGATGATGCTTTAAAGGGTGAGTGCATTCATAGACATGCAGCTAAATTGGTTGAGTGTCAAAAGAGTGGGTGTGGCTTATGACGAGGGGGCGGGGCATTGTCAGGCTTGACCTTTCCTCCACTAATCATCGCTTGACCCCTTCGGAAAAGGGAACGTTTCTCCTGAACAGAGGGCATTCAACACACACACACACACAGTCTGGCTATTCATAGTCATGAAATTTCATTAGGGCAAAGCAGGACAAAAAGATCACACACACACACATTAACGCAGCAGACAAGGACAGGAGAGAGGAAGAACTTCAGACTCACGTCTGAGATTCGGGTCATAGTGGAGATCATGATTTCAGAAATTAAAAACATGTTCAAGTGTCTGTTGGTTCAAGGCTACACACACAACACGAGGGATCTGTTGCAAAACCTAGCGAGCTCGACAGACAGCAGCCTTTAAAGGGCCACTTTATAACACAAAAATAGCACGTTTTAATTCATACATTAAACCTTTGCTGTGAAGTAGCTCATCTGACAAAAAAATGCAATGTTTTTGAAAAGGAATTGTTCTTTTTTCACTTGATTCATTGATCAAGTGAAAAAAGCTGTTAAAATTTAATAAATTAATTTGATTACCACCGTTTTTGATGATAAATTTGTAGTAAAGCGTAAAACACAGAAACAACATGGAGTTTGCAAAACAGATTTCATAGGGACCGGTTATTGTTAAAGTTTTCTGATTAAACTTTAATTAAACAATTAAAGCAAGACACCACACGTGAATAGGGTAAAAAGGATCTAATTTTGAAAAATTGTTTGTATTACAAAAAAATGTTGTTTAAATAAGAAATAAATGAAGCATTTTGTCAATTAAATATAAAACTAATTGGCAAACATTTCCAGAACAGAAATCTGAACACAGGTTCAAAATGTGTTTCATTTTGTTGACATATTAAAGGTTTTTACAGAGGGGATTTTGGATCTACCTTTTTATCACTCCAGAAATCAGAAAATACTGTCAACAGACAGAAAAATACATTAACAATGTTTTTAGGAATACCAATCAAATGATATATGAACATCTTCAGAATATATAGGTAGGAATAAAAGTGTGTTTAAGCTGCTGAAGTGGATATTTCCGATTTGAATGATATGGATTGAAATTTAAATCTACAGACACAGATAGATCAAATAAAATAAAACGCTTAAATCTTTGGATGTTTTCTTTCCACTAGTCTGAAAAAAAGACACGTCATGAAAGCAAATCTCAAAATTGAACGGTGCATAAAAAAAAAAGTTTTTGCCTTGCATTAAAATGGAAAATTTGGGGGTAAAAATGAAAACTGACTTGGTATTTGGCGTAGCAAGCGCCACAATACAGTCTTTAATTGCCACTTTAGAAGGCAGCTCAGTAGGTTTTGCCGTTCGTTTGAGTAACTGAACTAACAGCGTCTCCATTCATTCACGTGTCGATAAGAAAATAAGAAGAGAAACTGCACAGTAAATGTAAAACAGTTTAAAGGAAGTGCAAAACGATTCCACGCTTACAACCGTCCATCACTCAGAGAGCCAACTGCACGCTGGCGTTATGCAAATGTGCTGCAATAGTGTGAAGAAAGACTTCAGTGTGTCCAGTTATAGAAGCACAATGAACCTGAGGACAGATCAGCAGAGCCAAACACGCAGAAGAACTTGAGTCAGCAAAGCCCACATGACCGCTGAGGAATGAAGAACGGGACATTATGAGGCAGGCGTGCGTGTAGGAATCAGTCAGGACTACACTGAACAAAATTAAAAACAACACTTTTTTTTTTTGCCCCCATTTTTCATGAGCTGATCTCAAAGCACATTTTAGGCCTTGTCCACACGGACACGGTATTTTTATAACCGGAGTTTTTCCTCCTGCGTTTAAAAAAAAAAGTCTCTGTTGTCTACATGAAAATGCAAACATAAATGCAAACATAAACGATATATCCCTAACCGTAAAGCCACGTTGGCCAATCAGAAGCCTAACAAAAAGTTATTACTGGTTCCGGTAGTCGGATAACGGCGCACAATCAGTGTTGCCAGATTGGGCGGGTTCCCGCCCAATTGGGCGGTTTTGAATTTGATTGTGCGGGTAAAAAAGGGTTTGGGCGGGTGGTCAAAATTTGGGCTGGTTTGGGATCATTTCGGCGGTTTTCAAACATCTACATTTTAAAGTCTAATCTAAAAAACGAAACTAAAGTGCATGTAGTCCATAAAACCAGTCATCATGACATTACTGTACACACACGCTCATGCAGAGTCAGCTGGCGCTAGTGTTGACATCACCGACGAGCACGCACTTTTAGCCAATCAGCGATCCGCAGGCAGACGCGATTGAGCGCGAGAAGTTGTAGCTGTATATTAAAGTGATCGCTAAGGCAAAGTGCCAACTATACAAAAGAGTGTACAGTAGTGAGCAACTCTAAAAAACGCACACGTGGAAGGAGATCACTCTATGGTGAATATAACTCTGAGAGGAGAGCACAGTTGAATGACTTGAATTGAAATCAAAAATGGGACGATTCCTGTCCATATCATATGTGCACACTAGCCTAACCAAACATCTGCAACTTTACACCATCCAGACTGCACTCTACTTGTCCCTGACGGCAGCTGAAAAAGGTTTGAATCAACGATGAATCCGTTTTGACTGCTAAATTCTGCGTTATGTTCTGCAATGTGTACTTCCGAGGGTTAAAGTCATCGGTTCATTTCTTGATTGCCGTTTTGACAGTGTCCACCTGGACATTTTAGTCATATTGGCTAATTCTCCTTAATTATTGCCCTGTTTTGATCTGTTTTGCTGGAAAATTTATTTATTTTTTATTTTATTTTATCATCGTTATTTTGTTTTAAGTAGATACAAATTGTGCTTATCAACCTTAAATGACATGGTAATGAAATTATATCACATTATTTTGGCAGTAAAATTTTGGGCGGTTTTTTCTTGTAGTGGGCGGGTTTTGGTGAGCTTTTGGGCTGGAAATCACCGTCCCAATCTGGCAACACTGCGCACAATCTGACATCAAACACAGCGGATAACGGCGCACCTAGGGATGGGACGGTGTGAAAATTTCATATCACGATTATAGTGTCCAAAATTATCGTGATTATCAATATTATCACGGTTTTGTTAAAATGAGATGAAAGTGTTCAAAAAGAACACTTTTGAAAACATTTCAACAAGTTTTATATTTGAAAATCAACAAACAACAAATAAAACAAGCAGGTCTATGCAGTTTTTTAAGCAAGATTCTATTCTGTGGCATTTCCTTCTTTATAATGACCGTCGTCAATAGCAACTAGGGGTGTAACAGTACATGTATTCGTATTGAACCGTTTCTGTACGAGGCTTCCGGTTCGGTACGCATACAAACTGAACGATTCCTAGGACCATTTTTCCTGCCGAAAAAATCCGCGCTGGCGCGATCACCACAACGTTGCGCAACATCAAATGGCAAACGTAATGAAAGCGGAACGAAACTGCGCTACTCATTATATTGTGCTTCACGGATCGCAGTTCGGACCAGCAACATCTGTGCAGCGCGAGCCGATCTTGATCAAGCGACACTGTTACAACACAGCGCTAAGATCCAGTGAAGAAAACATTTGAATTCGCCACTGAAGTAATAACATCGCTGCGAGATCTAGTGAGAAGCATTCACACTTCTCCGTTATTAACCGTAGATCTCTATTAGATCAAACAGCGCTGACGTGGACACCAGGAGAAATATTGTGCCGTGAATGAACTAGTAATAGCTACTTTACGTCCACAGACCAGCAACATTCACCATGGATTTAATATAGTAACACTAAATGTAACCAGTTTGGCTGGAATAGTGAAATGCTTTCAAGTACTTCACACATCTTTTTCCAGCACTTCAAAACTCAAATATTATATAAATAAATATACAAAGAGTTCAGATGCAAAAGCCTCTAAGTGCCCTTTGAAATTTTCTTCTAGTATGATAATTTTTATGAAGCTTGTATATTTAAGTTCAGTAATTTCACTCAAATGACAATTAAAAGGTAATCTTCACTGCCATTTAAGTGAAATTACTGAACTTAAATATACAAGCTTGATAAAAATGATCATTCTAGAAGAAAATTTCAAATGGCTTTTGCATCTGAACTCCTCCTATATTTAAATGTTATTTTTAATGTGATGACCAAAACATTATTCGTTCATCCTTCAAAGATGACACCCATTTATAAACCAGAAAGTTTCAAGATTTAGGAAAACTCACACTTATTTAAAAAATATTTTTTCTTTTAACAAATAGGAAATTTCTCTGGCAATTCTTACTTTTTGCTGTATCGAAAACGTACCGAACCGTGACTTTAAAACCGAGGTACGTACCGAACCGTTATTTTTGTGTACCGTTACACCCCTAATAGCAACACATTATTACACGGCGCACATCTATGCATCACAACGGACACGCGCTCTTGTTTCATTCAAATACAACTTGCCGTCTTGCGTCTCCCGTTTTATCGGAGTTGATTTATTGTTTACAGAGTTTGATAATATTGTTGTGATCATCTTGTCTGGACGATTGTTTTGTACGCTGTACAAAATGGATTTATAAATGGGTAAGATTTAAAACATTAATCTCAATTCAATATGTCCCCGCAATATTTGAGAGAAATAGGCCTTGTGTACATAGAAAAAGTCTTAGATCTTTGAGTTCAGCTCATGAAAAATGGGGGCAAAATCAAAAGTGATTGTGTTTAAATGTTTGTGGTGGTTTTTAAACCGTGATGACTTTACAGAAAATATATTTCATGCTCCCATTATCATAGATTACATGCATATCTGTTTTTTTCAGCGACGACTGTGGTTGTTTTGCGCAAATTCAGGTTGTAGTAATTTCATTGAATCTCTCACACACACACACAAAATGTCTAGGTCATATTTCATCCCAGAAGCAAAAAGATTATTTTAGGATCATACGTTTTTTGTCATGGCAACATCATTTTTCATGACATTGAAAAATTATGACATCCCTATTAAACAACCGTGGCAAAATTAGACATCCCTATGGAGAAAATGAATGAACGAGTTTTTACTTTGACTTTTTTCACTCTGCTAACAATGTTTTAGTTATGATAATCATACACCCAGACGAAGGGAATAAGAAATATAAGAGAAGCTGATACAGCAGTAACTCAAACACATTTGTCTAACAATCTGTCAAGACAGGAGATTGGCGCATAAGAGTCGTGAGGTTAAACTAAGGTTGTGAATGTTTGACATGTGCTTTATCATTGAAACGCCTAGAGATTTCACCCGTCAGTGGTGACATATGCACAAGCGAGGCCGCTTTAGATTACAGACATTAAAGTTCCTTATATAACCTGAGACGCCCGCACATCCCTTACAGTATCAGTCTCAATCCTGTTTCAGGAAACGATACGAGTTAACTTTCATCTCTGGCTAATACCAGACACTGTACACTACACAAACTGATGTGAACTATCAGGTGTTTCACAAATAAACCTAGACGGAGACAGGAATGTTATCACCTACGAGTTTCAACATAAATCCCCCCACTAGTAAATGTAGTTTAAGGCGCTGGAAACACCACGCGTGTTCATGCGTTTAAATTATGGCTGCTTGATTATGGGAAAAATCGTAATTTAACACCATTGACTTTGGAAACTTCACCTATTATTTTATTTTTAATTGTGTTTTTATCGGTGTATTTCATTGATCTTTGAATATATAATTAAACTGAAAAACATAAAAACAAACAAATTGGTAATTCAACATTGACTTTGGAAACACCACCTGTTTTTTATTTTATTTTTAATTGTCTTTTTATTAGTGCATTTCATTGATCTTTGAATATATAATTCAACTGAAAAACAAAAATGTACAAATAATAAATAAACAAATTGGTAATTCAACACCATTGACTTTGGAAACTTCACCTATTTCTTATTTTATTTTATGTTTAATTGTCTTTTTATTAGTGTATTTCATTGATCTTTGAATATATAATTCAACTGAAAAAATTTTTAAAACAAAAAACAAATTCGTAATTCAACACCATTGACTTTGGAAACCACCTATTTTATTTTTTATTGTTTTATTTTTTATTGTCTTTTTATCAGTGGATTTCATTGATCTTTGAATATATAATTAAACTGAAAAACATACAAACAAACAAAAATAAACAAATTCGTAATTCAACACCATTGACTTTGGAAACATCACCTGTTTTTAATTTTATTTTATGTTTAATTGTCTTTTTATTAGTGTATTCCATTGATCTTTAAATATATAATTTAACTGAAAAACAAAAGTAATTCAACACTATTGACTTTAAGAAACCACCTATTTTTTTTATATTTTTTTTTTTATTGTGTTTTAATCAGTGGATTTCATATCTTTGAATATATAATTCAACTGAAAAACATAAAAAATAAATATCAAAAACAATAAAAACAAATGTATGATATCAAAATAAGATGTTGCACTTCCACAACCTACTGAAAACTACTAAACACCATAATAGTTTCTCAATTATATTGTTTTCATAATTGTCAAAAGTCAAAATCAAGTCAAGTCAATTTTATTTGTATAGTGTTTTCACATACACATTGTTTCAAAGCAGCTTTACAGAAAAAAACATGATGTTAATGTTTATAATATCTTCATGGCATGCCTATCAGATTAGAGCTGGGTGATAATATGGTTTACATTTTTTGCGACGATACAAGCAGTTTATATCGCTCTATATAATATTGATACATAAGGTATCATGTAAAGAGCTGGGCGATAATACATTTTGCAACAATATAAAACAATCAAGCGGTTGATAAATTGTAAGTGAAAATAGCCCTAGTGTAAATACAGCTATATTGAACAAAAGTGCACAGAGAAATCTCAACACATTTTTAAAAGTTAAACTTGATGCAGAACGGACAGTAACAATGCACGCAATGACCAAAGACATTCATCAGAGACCAATAGACACGTTAGCTTGAAATATCAAGATTCTGGCCATAAAGTAACATTTATTATGGCATATACTTTCTATACTGGTGCATCCCTAATAAAGTACCTGTTAGGGCTGTCACTTTACGTTCGAAAATCGATTGCACAATCGATCAGACCAACCAACACAAGTTTCGAAAACGAAAATAGGGAATCGATTTTTTTTTTTTTACCAAAAACGTGTTTTAGGCGGACAGATCAATACAGGACACAGAACATGTAGGATGCTGGAAAATAACTGTCTTTTCTGTCAACCAAATGCTTTTTAATATTCGCTATTGCTTCAATGCAAGTGAACAAGCGCGCCGTTATTTGTTGCGTAGTGATGTGTGTGTGTGTGTGTGTGTGCTCAAGTAAGCCAGAAATGCGCAGATTCTGCAATACGCTGTATTTAATATATCATGAGGATCACGAGTTGCGTATTTGCGCTAAATCCGCGCAGATTTGTCTTCCACAGCAAAGTGAGTAAACACAGAAACACGCCAGATTGGCTCGTGATTTGACAGCGTTTCCCGCCAAAGTTCATTTTTACCCGCATTTGGCCGGTCGGAGGGTGTTAATCTCAATCTCTGAATGCTGCACTCATTGTGTTTGTCATTGTGCTGAAACTCCACGCCAATAAATCATCAGAAATATTGCTGACTTGTGCGTCTCAAGCGCCCTCTTTACATTCGTCCTAATGCCTGTTAGGTGTCCGTGGATTTCCCTATATTTGGTGTTGAAAATGGAAACGTCTTTAGACAGATATATTTAGCGATTCAATGAACACTTATGTCTCAAAAATCGAACCTGATTTTTTCACAAAAGTGACAGCCCTAGTACCTGTTCATGTGAAACGGTGGCATTATCTGCTTATCAATGCGGTTTATGATTGTTCTTACCTAGTAACAGCTGAAAGACATAAAAGAAAATCCCATAGACACTGTTTGGCTGGTTTACTGCACTGTCGTTCCCAAAAATGGATCCCAACAGTCCAAATCCTCGACCCCATCTAGAGACAAGATGAAAACACAACAGAAAGAAACAGTAAAAAAGCAGAAGTTGAAAGCAGACAACATGAGATATATATATATATTAGTGCTCTGGGCTCCTCTTGGGAACACAAGAACATTAAGACAGAATATTTGGCCTAAATCAAAACTACACAATGATCAAGGCAGCAGCATATAAACAGATCAGTTTCCCTTTATTGGTGCGAACTGAGATTTCTGACCCAAATTGATTGAAATTACACCAACAAAGGAGAAATGTGGTGGTTTCCAGTCACATCCAATTCCAGCATTTGCAGTCCAAACACAGCTACATTGACTAAAATAGTCAATTTTAACTGCATTATATTTGCTACTTTTTAGTATGCAAGGATGTAAAAAATATTTATCTTGTCCATTATCTTGGATTTATTTTTTCCACCAGGCTCATCGCAAGGCATTTGCTAATTTGCGACTTGGCTATACAGTAGAAAGGAGAACACGTTCGATACCAGTGCTTCCTAACAAGAGAAAACAGAGAAAAAAGGCTGTTTTCTTCCCTTTTGTCACATAGATAGGAAAACTCCAACACCCATAATGCACTGGGCATGTTGCCGTCCAAGGCCACAGTCACCAGTCTGCTATGGATACACTTAACAGAGTCAAATACTCTAGGAAATACTTCTCAGCAAACTTTTAGTCATAATGCTGTCGACTTGTATTGTTCCCGGATGCAAGAATTCAAAGAGTAAACGTTCAGTGGGAGTGATGGTGCGTTCAAGATCGTATTTACGGGTTAAACCATGTCATAAATATGGAGTGGGAAGCTCAGGGTTTTCTTTAAGCCCCGATCTTTACGAGTTGAGGGTGTGTCAGTGAGAAATTTAGCAGTGATATTGTCAGACTTTTCTATTTACAGCGAAGTAAGCTCATTGCCACACAATATAATAGGGCTGTCACTTTACGTTCGAAAATCGATTACACAATCGATCGGACCAACCAACACAAGTTTCGAAAACGAAAATAGGGAATCGATTTTAACAGGCTTTTTTTTTTTTTACCAAAAATGTGTTTTAGGCGGACAGATCAATACAGTGCACAGAACATGTACGATGCTGGAAAATAACAATGTCTTTTCTGTAAACCAAATGCTTTTTAATATTCGCTATTAACTCAATGCAAGTGAACAAGCGCGCCGTTATTTGTTGCGTAGTGACGTGTGTGTTCAAGTAAGCCAGAAATGCGCAGATTCTGCGCGATACACTGTATTTAATATATCATGAGGATTCACGAGTTGCGTATTTGCGTTAAATCCGCACAGATTTGGCTTACACGAACTTCCCCAGCAAAGAAAAGTGAGTAAACACAGAAACACGCCAGATTGGCTCGTGATTTGACAGCGTTTCCCGCCAAAGTTCATTTTTACCCGCATTTGTACGGTCGGAGGGAGTTAATCTCAATCTCTGAATGTTGCGCTCCTGTTTGTCATTGTGCACGAAACTTCACGCCAATAAATCATCAGAAATATTGCTGACTTGTGCGTCTCAAGCGCCTCTTTACGCTCGTCCTAATGCCTGTTAGTTGTCCATGGATTTGCCTGTATGTGGTGATGAAAATGGAAACGTCTTTAGACATGGAAAATCGATTTTACGTCTCAAAAATCGAACAGGATTTTTTCACAAAAGTGACAGCCCTACAATATAACAATATAATATGTAACGATAAAGTATAAAGTGGCTTAATAAATTAAAAACAAAAAAGTAGGGATGCACGATGATATTGGTACAACATCGGTATCGGCCGATAAAAGCTTAAAATGACCATCATCGGCCGATATGAATATTTCTGCCGATGAGTCTTGCCGATAGGGTGGCGTGTTTCCTATGCGCACGTGACGACCGTGAACGAAGCATGAGCGCCAGCAACTTAAACTTCCAACTAGGGGTGTGCGTTAGAGATGCGCGGTTGGAGGTTACAGCCACGGACTCCGCGGATAAACCGCGGATCGGGCGGATGACGGGACGAAAAAAAAGTATTTTAATTAAATTCGGGCGGGTGGCGGGCGGTTGAACCAATCAAATGAATAATATACATTGTTAATATTGTTATCTGACTATACCTACATCCAAAAAATAAAAAATAAATCGAGCACACTTTGAAATAGTCAAATTTTCATCAGCTCGAGTCTATGCAGAGACTGCTTGTTGTTATCAGAGATGGCAACGCCGGCGAAGGAGGTACGTGACAAACTCAAAAAAGGAGAATTAAAAACAAAGGAAATAGAAAGTCAGAAAAGTGTTGCCTGGAATAAGTTGTGCGCTCTCTTGATATGCGCCCGTTCGATATTGTTTCTGGTAAAGGATTCCACCAAGTGGCCCAGACGTTGATTGACATTGGAGCTAAGTTCGGTCCTGTTGACGCTGGACGAGCCTGTTCTGAAGACTCCCGTTAATTTTGAATGCACGGGAAGAGAGCGGAGAGCGCGTCTTTTTCAGGCACAGTGCAATTCATTTTATACCATCAACAGGCCTAACAATCATATAATAAACTATAGAGCCATTAAAGAAACGCCGAAGTCACTATAGGCTTTTTCGTTGGTGCGCCATCAGCTATGCCTACAAAAGACAGATGAAATATAATATTAATAATTGATCCATGTCGGTATACACAGCCTAATATTTTATAATGAAAAATAGCCTACACAATCAAGATAGACTATTTACTTTTTAGCCTATTTATTAAATCCAGGAAATTGGTTAATGAAACATGGATTAAAATGAAGATACAATTAATACAAAACGAAATTCGCTTTAAAGAAAGTCTTTGTGCTTTTTTGAGGCCTCTGTGAAAGTTTAAAAATTCTTTTAGTGCCGCTTTCTGAGTGTTCGCGTCAGTAATGGAGAACTGTCACGTAACATTGTTGGCGCCCCATACAATAGCAGCATGTTGAAATTATGTGCCAAAATGCGTTTTCTATTAGGCTACAATGAACATATTGTACAGTAGCCTATCAGATAAGGTCAGGTTTGCCGAAGTGCGTTTAATTTAGGCTATTTATTTATTTTTGTCCCTGCGCGCCGATCGGAGACGGAGTTCACTGCTGATATTCTGAGAGCTTTCTAGTCTCGCGGCTGTCATCAGCAACGCCTTGTATCGCCCAATCAGCGGATGGCGGGCGGGTGCGGTTTTGAAAATTGGTCAAAAACGTTGGTGCGGATGGATGGCGGACGGATGATGAGTTTTGTGATGCGGTTGCGGATGAAATAATAGCCCATCCGCGCATCTCTAGTGTGCGTCTCACGCGGTTTTTGATCGTGGACGATTAAAATGTCTCCACGATCTGCTTTTGAAGAGAAATCATTGTATCGTGCATTCTATCTGTTCAATTCTGGCGCCTTCATCTCAACATACTGTACAACGCGACGTACATTCACATCACATCACATGTAAACGCAGAGGTAGAGTTACACTCACGGGACACTGCAATTCACAAAAGTTCATTATTTGCATGTGCGTCAAAGTCTTGCTAGTTAAACATGTCATTCACGTGCTGATGCGCTGTCCTAACATGCGCTTTTCTGAGCGCGTTACACCCGACACTCACAGGAACTAACAGCCGTCACAGCGCCTGCATACTGGACTAATCTTTCGAGTCTTATTGCGCTGAAACTGTCAAATACACACAAGGTTTACATAAACAAAGTTGGTTATGTCTAAAGTGAAAGCAAACAGAGAAAATCTACTTGTCAAATGCATGTATATTAGACGCGTGGCGTGCAGTTCTTAAAGAGACAGTAATAATATGCTGCCGCTTGTCCTTAAAGAGATAAAGGATAAAAATATGCACCCAGAAATAAAAAATTATGTCATTGTTTACTCACTCTAATGTTGTTCCAAACCTGTATTCATTTCTTTCTTGTGCTTAAATATTCTATGGAAGTCACTGAAGTACAGCAACTGTTTGGTTAGCCACATTCTTCCAAATAACTTTTATTTTCAACAGAAGAAAGAAATTTATTTGGGTTTAAAATAGGGCTGGGCGATAAAACGATAACGATAATTATCGCGATATATTTTTTCTCGATAAAACGATATCAAGAGGTCGATAAATGTTCGATAATGTGTATGCGCCAAAAGCGGAACGAAACTCATTTGAACCGCGCGCGCCTCACGGACTGTTTATCCGCTCGGCTCAAAGTCCAAACGGCAGCGCGAGCTCACTAGAGCAGACGCGTTTACTCTGATCGTCTCGCTCACCAGATCCAGTGAGAAGCGCTTAAGTTCAGCGAAGAACACAAATGTCCAGTTTAAATCAGTTCAAAGGCAGATGAAACACCGCTGACAAACAGGAGAAACACTGTGCGCAGCGAAACAGTAAGAATCTGAATTGATACTGAATCCATTTAGCCTACCATGGATTTACTGTAACGTTAGCCTAGTAATATTAACTGCACCATGAAATGTGGGAAATACATATTGAATTGTATAATATTATTAATGTAGAAAATGTATTAAATGACTAATGGAATATAATTACAGTATTTAATAATGTATTTAACTGTTAGGCTACTGTTTTTCATACAAATACCATAAAGTTACATTTTGCATGATAGTGAGGTGCTATAGGCTGTACCTGGCTTTATCTGTGGTTATCATGATCTAAATGCATAATACTGGATGACCAATGGTTAATTTTAATAAAACTCAAACAGTCAGAATATTACATTTTACCAAATAAAAATGTGGTCCTTAAATTAAAAAAAACAAAAAAAAACAGATGTTACTGTTTTTGTTAATGAACATAAATTTAACATAGTAGTATTAGCTTGAGTTAGGATGCAGATTTACTGTCAACTCACTGTCAAATATGCATTTCGAGACAAAACATGTAATTTGAATATTGCAGCCTGCACTGCAAACTGTGCTGAAGAAATGTTTTTCTTTTCAGATATTTATTTTGTTAAGGAAAAATGACAAATGTTTGAATGTTCTAGCTCAGATTTTTAAAACCACAACGCTCTGG